TGTGTGTGTGTGTGTGTGTGTGTGTGTGTGTGTGTGTGGGAGATAGAAAAACATGACCTCTGTACATATGTGTTCATGTGTTTCCATACTTGTTTTCCTCCTCTGCAATAACTTTCTTCCCTCCCAGCCGTCGTTGCCTCATCTCATGCAGCATAGCCTGGATCTCCTCCTTCATCTCGCTCAGGCTTTTTTCTGGAGTTCCACCTCTCCGTGAAAGAGACTGATTCAACTCAGCAGCCTTTGATTCGAGGTCTGGACACAAAGACACAACGTGAAAGTAGTCTGAATCTAGAACACGGCAGGTGGACAGACTCAATTCATGCAGTCACAGTTTTACAAGCATTTCAGATTCACTGAAATTTCCTCAGGGTTAATGATGAACTTTTATATTTTAAATATATATAGGTATTATCAAGTTCAGATGTTTTTATTTTAGTCACCTTAACAGTTCTGCTTTGCTTCATTAACAAACCTTTCAGCAACCAAGAGCAGAAGAACTTCAAAACAAGCTTTGAAACACACCACTGACACGTAATCAGCTTATGAAATCAGTTTATACACTGGCCAGCAATTCCTGTAATGACATATTCACTTTATATTTTAGCTCAGTTTTATTTTTTACTCTCTCCTGGGAAAATAATCTGGGTATTTTCAGTTGTTAGATGATCAAATTTAGTTTAAAAACAACATTAACGCACCAGAGCTTGGTGCATGAAAGGGAGAGTCTAATCTCTAATTATGGCTTGTCTAATTCTTTGACAATTTTCAGTAGTTAGTTTGTTATATACAAGACAAACAGCCAAGAGGGTCAATCTCCTTTTAGAGTATAGGCAATATACAGCCCAACTGTGTAAGCAAAATAACTCCATAAAGATGGACAAAAACATGAAAAAATGTCCTATTTAGTGCAAAGAAGTAAAACTACATTCTGAAAATGTTCACACCAGGCAAACTGTTAATTTACAAAATGGATAGTGGACAATCTAACATTCAGCAAATGGTTCAGCACAAATTTCATGGCAATCCATTAGCTGCTGAGAAATTTCAGCCATCACCAAAGTAGTGGACAGAAACTGCACAAAATACGAAATTCATCATCCACAGATTGAATTTTCTAAACCTGTATGACTTTAATCTAATGATGGAAACACTGTGTGTTTTCAAGTATTATCTTACCTGTTCAGTCCACAGCATTATTATAAGGTAGAATTATCAGAGGGACAACTCAGGCTGAGCAGTTTGGAGATAACGTTAGAGAGGCATGGCTGAGATGGTTTGGACATGTGCAGAGGAGGGATAGTGGCTGTATTGGACAAAGGTTGCTGAATGCTGTGCTGCCAGGCCAGAGGAAAAGAGGACGACCACATAGGAGTGAAGGAGGACATGCAGAGGACTGGTGTGACAGAAGTGGATGCTAGGGACAGTTTGAGAAGCTACATTTTGTTGTTTTCATTCCTGCCAACAGCTGCAAAGCAGAATTTAAAAATGCAGAAAACAGCATCGCTTCTGTGCACACAGAAATCATCTACATATATACAGAGATGTACCACAGCCAAACAGATGAACACGCCAAACCCGATGGACATTCTGTCTTTGGCAAAGTCTAACAGTAAGACGCACAAATGCACACGCTAAAGCTCTATTCAAAGCAAAGAAGTTTATGTCTGCCCCTCTTTAATTAAATTACAGCAAGTGAAATCTCAAACTAATCAATAATTAAAATACAGTAAAAAAAGAGAAACTCTATGGCTCACAATATTCAAACTGCTGCAACCCTAATGAGAAGTGTGTCTGTGTATTTGCTTATGCAAAATGAAAACAGAAGAGGGAAAAACTGAATGTGTGTTTGTGTGGTTTGTGTGTCTACTGTAATGCTGCAATCCTTTCTCATTTGAAATGTAAACACAATATGATTAAAGTAAGTTCAAACTTAAACGGAGTATGTGAGTGTTTGGAAGGTGTTTGTGTACGGGTGGGCCTGAGTGTATGTGTGCGCAGTTGTGGCAATGCAGCATTTCCGCTCATTTAAAATGTAAACATGCCGTGATTAGAGCCAAGACAGGAGTAAAGCCATCATGCTAATGAACAGCTGTACTGCATGTGTGTATGTGTGCGCATGTTGCATTTGTGTGTGCGTATGTCTATGAGTTTGTAAGTGTGTGTCACAGCCATATAATTACATAGTAGGATTTAAAAGCCAATTAAACACTTAAAACGTGGATGGAATCATATTATGCTATCTAGTAAACACAGGCACGCACACAGAGAAAAGTGTGTACAGTATTATTATGTGTGTGCACGTGTGTGGCTGTGCATGCGCATCTGTATGAATGTGTGTGTACATTGGCATCAGTGTTTGTGTATCTGGTGTGTGTGTGTGCATGCGCACGCGTTTGTGATAGCCACTAATTAAGTCTCTAATTGCTGCTCTCAATCATCCAGTGAGCTGCGACACAGTCTCTCTTTTCCTCTCTCAGAAACAAACACGCGCGCACACACACACAACCATAATCACACAATGATTAGGCAGAGGGCCAGAGAGCTGGGAGCAACAACAAGAAGAGGACAGTTTCATCACAGCCAGCCAGAATGGGTTGGTTTAGTAACTTTCTTTTCATCACACAAGCCATAAAATTTTCATAGTGGAAATCAAAATAATTTATTATTTGACTACACAGTTTTAGAAAGAGCACACTTGTTTGTTGTTCCCACCTAATATCAGCAAAGGGGAGGAAGAGCCACTTATAAATAGATTTATTTGTGCTAAGCCTAAGTACAATTCAATTAGAGTTGCTCAGGATAAAGTGACTAAAACTAGAGCCACACACGCACATATATAACTATTTTCACCAGCAAGAATTTTTTTTTTTTAAAGCGTTGACTGTCTAACTGGAGCAGTTATTGAAAGGGAAAATACAGAGAACAACACATTAGACAACAGGGAGCGACTGTGGAAACCAACCTGCACTCAAGATCCACTTATTCGCTCGCTATGGAGCTTTTATCAGCAGATAAAGTTTAGGTGGTTGCCATGGAGCTGCAGTGTTTTTAGTTGTTAAAGGGTTGTGTCTTCTGTCCATACTAAAACACCTTTTTCCAGCCAGCATGGATACAAGTAATAAAAAAAATACTCAGAATAGGGGGAAAAAACAGTTTTGTGACAGCAAAGTTTATCTAAAAATGAGAGTTCAAAAACAAGTCAGTGGAGACTGTTTGAAATCGGCAGCTTTTTCTAATGCCAAAGATGCACTGGGTTAAAAAAAATATCTTGGTGATGGCACACTGCATTGAATTGTGTCACTGATGTTTACTTTGTTAAATGTGAAAAAAGGGGAGTAGCTTTTCTTTCTTCACAGTTCATCCTACACTGGACCTGAGTCCACCCGCTGTCTGCAACAAACTGTTTAACCTAGTGCCCAAATAGCCAGTTCACTGCTGGCTGTCCCTTGTAAACAGAGGCTTTACAAATAGGCTGATTTTCTCACAGCCAGAGCCATGTGCCAGGGATAACCACATCAGGGATATAATCTCAGTGACATACACAACCAAGAGTACAAACGATTGTTCGAAACTGTTCATTTGGGATACCTCAAAGTCTTTATAGGGATAACTTGCACATAAACTAACTTCATTATTCGAAACTTTGTCCATTTTATTTAGATTCCACCACTGCAACACACTACCAGAGAAAAAGTGTAGTAGTCCGCTTTAAGGCTAAACAACGGGGACTAAATGTGGTGTCAGCTGTAATAGTAGGTAAAGAAGAGCATGAAGGGTTCTAGTACAACCAAAGTGTCGAGCAAAAACGCACTTTTGGCTAAACAAAAGCTCAAATGCTACACGCTCAATTCTTGTCCACTCCCACACGGAAGACTGCTAATAGCTTGGAATCCCCAAACAAAGCAGTGAAACCTCTTTTATACTTGAGTTATCATCTGTTGTGTTTATTTTGTGTTGAGTCAAAGGAGAAAACTAATCACAAGCTGGTCACGAAGCCACTGTTGACAGAGCTGAAGGAGGAGATGCAGCAGCTGCACCAGCAAAAAAAAAAAAAAAAAAAAAAAGGACACTGGAGCTGAATTGAGTGACCTGCTAGTTACATATGCAGAGTATATATTTGTGTGTGTGCGTATGTGTGTGTGTGTGTGGGCGCATGTGTGCGTAAGAGAGAGACAAAGAAAGAAGCAATCTGCCTGAAGTCGTCACTGCTGGAGGAAATCATCTGGAAAAAACTGCAAAGTTCTGAGAGAATCTTTTACACCAGCATCCCGCTTTTGGACAGTACATATCCCTAAATCTGTGGCTACATGGATAATATATGATTTGTGGTTAAACAAAGACACCACATGAAGAACTCAAACAAACAAACAAATAACAGTGCAGAAATACCTTTAAGTTGTGAAAATATTTTGGTTCTAATTAACTGAAAATTAATTTAAAGGTGCTGTAAGCCAATATTATTCTATTAACAGTGAATCAAAGCAGCAGGGTTGTTTGAATTCTTAAACCTACAAAGATTTCCTTCCGAGCTACAAGCTTGTTGTTCTAACTTTCTGAAATGCGACATTACCGTTCTGATTCACCGCTCTCTTGCCTCTTATCAAGACACAGCAAAAATGCTTTATTGTTTTATTATTTATTGTTTTTTTCCTTTAAACGCCACTCTGCAGTACATACTTAGCACCACAGCAACGAGCTGGTGAACAGGAGCTGAACATTTACTGTGAAAAAATATATTTTAAAAAAAGCCAATGTGGAAACAAATCTTTAAAAAATTAATTGAAGCATGAATCTGTGATGGCATGAGCAATGCTGCTCAAGCTACCATTTGTGATTGAACAAGTACAGTACTTTTCCCCCCCAAGTTTCTAGATTACCATGACCTGGATGATTGAGATCCCACACAGATAAGTACAGTATTGTGCAAAGATGTTGATCCGTTCTTCTCAGGAGGAAGAGTAACTTCTTAAAGTGTTCCTGATCAACAGTTTTCCAGGCTTTCTAAGGGTCTTACAAAATGTCTATTTGGATATTGGCTGCTTTTCACTTATTTTCAGTCCTTTCCTTGTAGCAGACAATTTTCAGAAGAATGTTTTTTCTTCTTTTTTTGTATGTTAAGGCCCTAAACACTGAACTATGAATCATTCAAGTGTAAAAAACAACTAGTTTGAAATTGTATTGTTAGGCAATGCCAATATGTTGCTTGCTTGGCAGTCCGAGATATGCCAAGCAAACAAGAGATAATCCAAAGAAGAAGTGGCAGACCTAAAGAACTACCTACAGCAGATTAACAGCATGTAGGAGATTCATCTGGCCCCTCAGTTTATCCATGTACTGTTCAATAAAGCCTCATCAAAAACCATCTCAGTGGAAGAAGCAATTTTTAAGTAAGAGGTGTGCATTATTGCACAAGAAGCAGACATTGCAAGAAGGCATTGTCAAAATGTATAAAGAGATGTATACATGGATTCAGGAAGCAGGTACAACAGTGAGTGCCTACAGCCATCTATAAAACATAGTGGAGGATCTATCATTGTTTGGGGCTACATTGCAAACAGTGGTGTTGGGTAACTTGTCAAAACTGGGTATTATGAACAATTATGAACACAGAACAATGCCATCAGATTTTCATCCTTCGGGCAATTCCATTTGGAAAAAGCGTCTGATTTAAAACTGCTTCATTTTTCAGCATAACCATGACCCCAAGCACACTGCTAGGGCAATAAAAGCATACACAATGCACCACCATCAGTCATTGACATGGCCTACAACGACCACGGGCCTCAGCATTTTTTAAACAAAGAAGAGCTTTGAATGTCCTTCAAGAAGCCTGGAGAACTATTCCTGAGGACTAAAAGCAATTCTAAGAAAACCTGGCTAAGAGAGTTCAGGCTGTGCTGAAGAATAAAGGTGCTCATACCAAATATCAATTTTGTAATGCATTAAGCTTGTTAGAATGGTACAAACTGTTTTTACCTTGTACAGTTTATTTCACTATAATTATGTGGTCACATTTCAATAAATCACTGCACATATTTCCCATTTTCCTAGTAAAAGAAAGGCTGGCTCAAGATTTTTGTGTAGCACTGTAGTTCATGTGCACATGAGCTAGATTGTGCTTTAGAAGCCTCTTTTGCTACATGATGCTACTCTTCAAGGTATTGGAAGAGTTGCTTGCCAACTAACTACAAAAAGAACAAAGCCAACTGAGTTGTTGCACCCAATTATCTTGGTAGGTGCTCTCTTTATCACCGTGGTTAGCGATGCTGCAGCCTGCTGGATCTGTCTTTATTGGTCAGGCAACACTTTACTCCGGCAGCTGGCACAGAGCACTGGCAGCTGGCCCATCAGCGACTGTGTTTGAGCTACGTTTTCCATTAGTGATCTTACAAGGGGGTACTAAGATGTTTTGTTTGTCTCACTTTGAAAATGTCACACTTTCAAAGAATAATGATCGAATAGAATGAATACAAGCTGTTTACTCCGAGTAAATGCTGAAATGAGTCTTGGTTGTAATGACACTGCTCTTATCACAGTAATTATTTTATGTGCAATTCAACTCCAGTGTCATTCTGAAGATGCTGCATCTTTATTTAAATTGAGTTTTTAATGTGTTCTGTCATGATAATTATTCATTTCATTACGTTTTCATACTCTTCTGTCCCACTCTCCTGAAATGTAATAACCCAAATTTCCCATTGGGATCTGTTACGTGTAATATTCTCTAATTTAATGAAATGTGCTCTAATGACAGATGAAACTAGTGAGACAATAGACAGATAAATCCTGAAATCCCAGTTGGCAGGATATAGAGGAAGCTAATAGGGAAGAGGTGCTTCTCATTTCTGCTACCTTTAGCTCCGAGCAGTGTGTCCCTGATGAACTGCTCCAGGTCCTCGGCTCGTTTATGAATCCTGTCAGCATCATCCTCAACCTGCTCTCCATCAGCAGACACCTTAGTGGCCTATACACAAAGACATATACGTTATAAAATAATGAACAACTGCTGAATAAGTGAACGTATCGACTTCTATGGAGAGGAAAAAAGAAGGATGAGATCTTCAACGTAAAGGACGATGGAAGCAATACATAAGCACTATTGATAATACTGTGCAAACACATATAAGGATAAATGAATTACTGACATGAAATGAAAACAAAATATCAGACATTAACATGTTCACAAAGGACCAGGAAAACAAGAGACGGATGAATTTTTGACAGACATGAAAACAGTTCCATATACACTCAATTTAGCAAACATGTACACGCACACATTGACAGAAAGAAAGTGTAGGTAATTACTGTTGTGATTTGACAAGACCATGCTATATCATTTTAGGTGGTTTGTGTGAGAGTATGTGAGAGTATGTGTGTATGTGCGATGGGGTGTGGGGGATAGTATTGCTGTCAACAAATGTCAAGGCCTCAGCCCCTAAAAGGCTGCAGCTTGACAGCACGAATGTGAGTGTTATTTTTCTCCATTTGGTATTTTTAGGACCCCTCCACTCAAAAAGTGTTTTTTTTTCCTTCTGTGTTGGTAAACTACTCTTACAGACAACTTTGACTCTCAAAATGGTGAAAAATGAGCGTGTATTAGACAAAGAGTTTGTAGAATACTTCATTATTTATGTGGTATATAAAACTTTAGGGTGTTAACTTTTCATCTTAATTACCTTTATGCATGGACTGATTCTCAAACAGGTAGCGCAGCCCTGAACTTTCATTCTGTGGCATCACAGAATAATAGATGGAATAAACTAGACTGGATTTATATATCACTCTATGGGCTTTCACACACATTCAAAGAGCACTTTAATCTGTGCACTTAAGACCTGTATCTACCCCGCATTCACACCAAGTTTAGAATCACCAATTAATCTATCTTTGGAAAGTGGGAGGAAGCTGGAGTACCTGAAGAAAACCTACGCAGGCTCAGGGAGAACATGAGTAGGTGTCAGGTGTCCTCCGTCCTGCAAAACCCTCGACTAAACCAAACTGTCTGAAACAGAGTGTTTCCAGCTGTATATTCCATGCGAGATATGAAAACTTTGGAATTCTCTGGAGTTCATGTGTGACAACCACTTTATTTTATTAATATCCAACCACTTAGCTACTCATCCGCGCCCAGCTGAGCGATATAACTGGCCAAAAGAAGCAACACAGAGCTCCAGAGTGTGGGAAAGCTATTCATGACATCAGGTTTGCTTTGAAAAACAAACCATTAAAGTGAAACTGCCATGATAAAGTGCTTAAAATGCCCTTTAAGACATTTTTGACCAACTGGCACAAGTTATTCTGCACTTCATCTTCATTATTTTTGCATAGTATGGGAAACACCACTAAAAAGAAACATGCGTGTAAAAATATAGGATTTAAAAGTTGTGTAAAAATCTGCTTTAAAAATTAGTAAAATGCTCAAAATATGCTTCTTTGACCCTCAATAATACTGGTATATGTTAGCATTTAAAATCTAGATTATCTCGACAAAGAATGGAACAAAAGGCAATCAACATCCAAAGAAGAGCTTTGAATCTCATTCAAGAAGTCTGGAGAACTATTCCAGAAAGAAAGTTCAAGAAAGCTTGCGTAAGAGAAGACTTTTAGGATTGTACAAACTCGATTTTTACTTTACATCCTTTATCTGTATTTATGATTGCATGTTTCAGTGGATGGCAGCACTTAATTTCCAGTGTCTCCGTACTATATATCTATATTTTGACATCCCAGACAGCAAAAACTGTTACACACAATGCGCACATCTGTTGCTTTAAACTATGATCTCAGTGCCTGTCACAATGTGTATTTGCTCTCCGGCTGCACACAAAGAAAGAGTGAAACAATGATAAAGACAGGACGAAGGCAGACAACGATGGAGACAAAATTTGAGTCAAAAGAAAAACTCAAAGGTTTTTACCCTGCTGTGTAGCTGGTCCATCTCTGTAACCAGCGATCCCAGGTTGGAGTCAGCCAGTTGCAGTAATCTCTCTGGAGCTTTCTGAGGCGACAACATGTGCTGCAAGAGAGAATCAGAGAGATGAAGGAATTATGGAGAGAAATGTCTGACACATTTTGGCCCTGGGCTAGGCTTTTGAACTGTCTGGCTTTGTGCCGTAGAGCTAAAAAGAAAAGAATAAACAAGTGCATGCAAAAGGCAAGGAAGACATAAATAATTCAATTGTAAACACATCTGATAAA